CACACCCTCCCCCCTCGGGGGCTTCGCCCCCTTGTGTCCGCTTACTGCCCCCCCTGGCATTTTGCTCAGACTACGGCCCTGACTCACACAAAATTTTACAATGAAATATTAAACCGGTAGTACTAGCACAGTGCTCTACCTGCACATCACTTGATGATAATTTTACAACAATTAATTTTATTTTCATAGATCACTTAAGCAAATCATTTTTTGTTTAAGGATAACTTCAAAAGTGTCGTTTCAGGTTCGTGAACTGGTGGGCATGAACAAAAAATAAATAAATCACAATGAAAACATCGTGTGCGGATAGAGTACTGTACTACAACTTATTTACACATGTATAATAATAAGCGAGCGACGTGCAGGGTTGACGCTTGGATTTAGTCCATTTTATTAGAAGTTTCATGAATAAAACATTTGTTGCACGCTGCACTTCATTCGATACACGTTTTGATGCAGAAAATTACAACCCAAAGCAAACATTGCATTTCAAACCAAATCAAATGTCAGCCCTGCAAGTTGACTATACGACAAACGCAAGACAACGTTGACATGGGTGCGGGCGCTGGCGAACACGAATCTGACGTCATTTCTGGGAGTGCGTCCAATCTCAACTTAGACGGTTGTTACGAGACACTGAAATTAAATGAAAAATGAAATAAATTAAACAAAATCCATGTGAGAGAAAAAATATCTAGTGAAATACAATCTTCATACCGACCCTTTTTGGTATGTATTAAGAGATATAAAAGTCATATTATATATATAAGAATAGATATATCCTCGGTATATTGAACCTACACGTTCTATACAATGACATCATTACTATTGCATACCCTCTACACACTGTTACACGTCAACATACTAATATTTATATTAATCCATCTTTGCTAAGCCATATCCCTCCACAAGGAGTATTGTGATGGAGACTGCATATTTGCCCACATAGATAATTTTATCATGAAAACAGAAAACCGGCCGTACAATCACGCTGCTCTGTATACCAACTATTACAAAAGATATCAGTGTTTGGACTTTATATATTTGCGGAATTAAAAGTAGATAAATGTAAACATTTTACAGAAAGCCTATTTTTGATAAAGATAACTCTGGATTTTGTAAATGCGGGGATCAGGGTTACAATGTAGTAATATAAAATTGTTTCGGTTCCGTAGGATAACATAAAACACTGGTCAATGACAATTAACATGTTGTTTATAGGGCACAAGGATGCAGAAAGTGTTTGGTTTTTGTCTTGTTTTATTTATGCATTATATTGCTTATTGTGTGAGTAGTCTGACATAAATTCAGCATTTTATTGCTACATGTGCTTATTAAAACCACTTCGCTTTTATAGACAGAAAAAGAATGATTTTACCAATTACTTGATTTCAATTCAGCCACTTAATTAATTTTGTAATCCGAACACTAGAATTTTAGCTTTATTTCTTTTAAAATCAGATACTTTGTTCGAGCATTTTATTCCCGATTGTAAAATCAAGGATGGAATGAAATTGAATCATGAAAATTGAAGTCAAGGGAGGTCGACAGTGTCTAGCAAATGTACGTTTGCTTTCCTGGTCGAGGTTAGTTCTCTAGAAAACCACTGGTTTGTTGTCAGTTTACTTTAACAAACAGGATAATTTTGTACAAACCGCTGTCGTAAGATAAAAAAAGGCACCCATTGGGAGCTGAGAATGCACCGATAGTTACCTGCTTTGTCGCCTTGCTTTGTTTAAGACGGAATAACGCGTTCAGACCTTTGGACGGCTGGGATAATCTTTTCACTTCTTTATGAGCAAACACTTTCCTTCTGGAAAAGGCAACATAAAAAGCTATTTAACTTTTCAAGCTCATTTCGGCATTCGTGTCAATGAAATATACCCAAGAACAATTACCCCTGAAGTGGGAAATGCATACTTTTTGACAAAATATCGTCAACATAAACCGATCAGTGTTGCCTTATGCCATCTATACCGTACTTACAACAAACTACATCAGTTCTCAGTGCCAAAATTTCAGTTTACGTGTGGAAATTGTGACAATGTGGCATATAAAGCTTCTTCCTCTCCTCCTGACCTTGGCCCTTTCTGAATACCTCTCACCAAATGCTCACCTGGTTACATAATAGTACCACTGTCGTGGGATTGTGTTAGAGAAGACACATTGTTGTTTTCCCTCAATCTAAAACGCTACCGTCAGGTTATTATACAAACAAGCCATTTTGTTTTGCCTATAGACTTTCATCCCAAATGAATGAGGTTATTTCCAATAAAAACATGAATGAGACTGTTTTAAGACTAGAAGAATTACAAGGCACAAAACCATAGACATAAAAATTTTGCACTCTCAACTTGACCAAACGATTACCAAATCAACAGAGTGCCTAGGAGGCAGAATATAAGGCGCCATTCAGAATATATGATCCCAGTACTATCTGAACCGCCGACTAAATATGGCTGACCACACTTCAAAAGTNTCGTCAACATAAAACGATCAGTGTTGTCTTATATGATCTATACAGTACTTACAACAAACTACATCAGTTCTCAGTGCCAGAATTTCAGTCTACGTGTGGAAAGTGTGACAATGTGGCATATGAGGCTTCTTCCTCTTCCTCCTGACCTTGGTCCTATCTGAATACCTCTCACCAAAATGCTCACCTGGTTACATAATAGTATCACTGTCGTGGGATTGTGTTAGAGAAGACACATTGTTGTTAGAGAAAACACATTGTTGTTTTCCCTCAATCTAAAACGCTACCATCAGGTTATTATACAAACAAGCCATTTTGTTTTGCCCATAGACTTTCATCCCAAATGAATGAGGTTATTGTTATTATTATTATTCCCAATTAAAACATGAATTAGACTGTTTTAAGACTAGAAGAACTACAAGACACAAAACTATAGACATAAAATTTTTGCACTCTGAACATGACCAAACGCTTACCAAATCAACAGCGTGCCTAGGAGGCAGAATATTAGGCACCATTCAGAATATATGATCCCAGTACTAACTGATCTGCCGACTAAATATGGCCGACCACACTATCTAGAGATGTCGTTGATTCGATCCTAATTATCTCCCCGCCTGCACACGCGCCATTAAATGGATCGGGGCCGTAGCAATAGTCCGAAGGTCATTGGTCTGAATATTCACTATAGAACCTTCGGACCAATGAACCCTTGATTAAAAAAATCGATGAAAATGTTACCACTTTTCGGACCAATGAACCTTCGGACCAATGAACCTTCGGACTATCGAGACGCCTCCAATGGATTAAATCTCGGCTCCGAGGTTTAATTGCTAGGCCCCTGCAGCGGTCGGCCATATTAAGTCGGCGGATCAGTTAGTACTCGGATCACCTGTTTTGAATGGGGCCTAAGTGAGGAGTGAGGGTAACCACTGAGAAAATAACAATAATGGAGGGGGGTCGACGAAAAATGAAGCTGTGCATTAATTGATTGGTGTCTCGGCCCTCGGATATAAACGGCGTAGCAAAGACGTTCTTTTTTTGTCTGAATTTCATAGTGACACCAGTGAGGATAAATGTTTGTGTATCAATTAACCTGTATGAATGTAAAGTAAATGTGCGCAAACGCGAAAACGACTAAGAATTTTTTTGTTTTCATCATCCATTACAAAATCCAGATATTTTTCTTTGTGAATACATTTTAATGAATTACAGGTTCTTAGCTCAGACGTCTCCTCAAGTTCACCTTGCCAGTTTTGTTAAATGTCGCTGCTAACGCGTTCCTGGAAAATGCTAACTTTTAGGTGACTTCCGTTTTAATCATAATCTTCAAATACCTTTTCAATTCAGAGCTTAATGATTTTAGGTTAAATTTGCTTTGCATTTTACCTTTCATATAAGGAGAAGTTCTTCCAGCTTTTCCTCCAAATTCGTGGTTTGATATTTTGAAATGAAAACCCAAAATTTAAAGTTGTTTTGCTAAAACAGAAGTAGAAGCAGTCGACAATCTTCTGTCTTGGTAGATCTTAGTTATTTAATTTATATGTAAAATATGGCTATATTGTCAGATCAGTTTTACTTCCAGGCTCAAGTCAGAAGATCATATATTAATGTTATTTCTCTTAAAAAACGAGCTAAAAATAGGTAAAATTAGTTCTTGAACAAAGAAGCCATGGTAGATCGTAATTCATTATTTAAGTTACATGTAAAATATGGCCACAATTTATTGTCAGATCAGTTTTACTTCCAGGTTTAAGTCAGCAGATTATACATTATTGGTCATTTCTATTAAACTAGACAGAAAAGCTGGCAAATATACAGACACCATACAGGAAACAAGGCAGCAAAGCTGACAAACGTTCAGGCACTACACAGAAAATAGTGCACCAAATAGTTTTGGCCAACTTTGATGCACTGCTACATAATACTTTAAAGCAGCATAATCACTCTTACCCTCTTACATTATTTACTACAGGTAACATAGACATTGTAAAACTAGCAAGTGATTCAGTTTCATGGCATATAAAAGCCACTGAAAATGCTAATATGTGAAAAATAAAAAAATTCACACAAAAAATAATAATTACCATAAATGTAAACAGATCATGGCTATTTTCAAAGTAACCTGGCTCTTTACCAAACAAAGCTACTCAGTACATCTGGAGTAAAACAAAAATACAGTTTGGCAGTTATGGGGCAAACATCACCAAAATTGTGAAAAAAAAAAATTACTATAAATGTAAACCGACCATGCCGATTTTCAAAAGCAACCTGCCTTGTTACCAAAAAAGCCACTCAGTAAATTAAAAGTAAAACAAAAATACGGTTTGAAAGTTATGGGGCGAACTTCACATGTCAGACAGCAAAAGCGACGGCACAGACAAACAGACCAATCAGAATTTATACAGACATTTACAGTGTCTGTATATAAAAATGACCTGCAAAAATAAATAGACAATGCCACCTGCCAAAATTAGCCCATGACTACACCTTACTAATGTATGAATCGTCTGTCATAGTAGATCTTAGGTATCAAATTTATATGTAAAATATGCTTATGACTTGTCAGATGACAATTACTGCTATGTTTATCAGGTACTTAATTGTTACTACAATGTTAAACAAACAAAGAACATTCCAAGATTGAAAAAATGGTTGATTTACAAAGATTTATTGTGAAACAAATTTTCCTTTGCTCAGTACAAAAACAATGTCTATTCATTAGAATTACATGTAGTTGGAATGAACAATATATGCAATTTACAGTTAAATTGAACACAAGCAATCATAGGGAACAAACAGATAACATCCAATTAATATCAAACAAATTTGAAAACCTACTGATACAAACTGCCTTTCCCACCTGCTAGTGTAAATTAAGTAAGATCAAAGGAAATGTTTCAGTCCTTTGATACTAGTGGTTTGTTATATTACCCCGGTGAAGTTGATTCCTGGTTCCTTATTCCTTATTCGGTTACTTATTCAAATGTGAAGTTGGTTACTTATTCCCGGTTCCTTATTCGGTTACTTATTCAACTTTTTTATGTTTTTTTATGATTTTGATGCTAGAATACCTGTTTCATCATACTAGCACCCCCTCTTCATCTAGATGACACCCTAAAATTGTTAAATATACCAATAAAAACACAAAATATAACCCATTCCTTATTCAAAAGTCCTGTTACTTATTCGGTTACTTATTCCTTATTCGGTTACTTNTTCATAATATCCTTTGCACTGGTATGATTAATAAAGAGTATTCAAATCCATTTCATAAACAAATTCCTTTCAACATTTACACTTTATCAAGGTCATAAATATACAGATAGGCATGTGCTGAATTGGATATATTTGCAGTAATTGTATCAATTATAGCTAGTATATGATAGGCCTCTATGATAGGCCTCTAAGCAGATATAAAGTAGATACTGGAACCACAATGCAAATGGCTGAATGCACATATTACTGTTCAGAAGACATATCTTACAAAGTTTGACTTTAACACTGATCCAAACTGTCTGCCACCCAAGTTATTTCTTCAGAACTTTCATTCCACCTTCTTACTGAAATACTACTACATTCTTTCCTTTCTTTGCCTCATACTATCTCTTGTACTTTGCTTGAGACTTTTCAACTTTCTTCTTGTACTGAAAATATATAGTTTATAGAAATTGTATTAAATAGGGTATGTTTCAGTATAAATGGGAGAAGCAAAGTTCAAGTTTTTGCCATATAAACTTATACTGTGCACAGAGCCAGCAGGATAAATGAAGTTAGCCCCAGAAATTACAATACTGAACCTGCTGCCATCACTATTCTGTTGACACATTTTTACAAAATTTTCTAAATGTTGCAATATTTTTATGAACAGATTACGTGTGACATCTTTTTTTTCTATAAAACTTGTGTGAAACCAAATATTGCTCAATGTAAGGGGCTACTCTTTAATCTTGCATGGACCAAAATAAAATATAAAAAAAAAATTAAGAAATTAATAGCATATTCAGAGGAAGTTGAACATGTAAGTCCCACATGCATACCTTAGCGTGTAACTCAGTAAGTTGCTGGTGTTGGAATTCCACCTGCACATTACAGTCTTCTTTGCTGGGCATTGTCACTTCTTTCTCTATGTACCTCAACTGCAAAATCAGAAAATTAATGATCAAAAATGAACAAAATCAATTATGTTTATTAATTAATCCACATCTTAAGGTGCCAATACACTCATTATTTTTTTGATGAAATATAAGAATTTCATTTGTACATAATATGCCATGCAATGCAATGGTAGACAAGATCAAGATTCATCATCCCTATGATCATAAAAGCAAAATGCATTTTATATTTAAGGGGCCTTGGGCTGTTTTTTATGCCAAAATATAATCAACAGTCCTTAAGGTCTGGCCAGAATATACACCTAAAAATGCTATTTTTTAGAGTATAAAATATTAGGAGTATATTACCCTTATAAACCCCCATATTCCCAAAGTAATTACTTTTGGGTCTGCTATCTTAATATGCCTTGTCATCATGCCATGATTTGAACATAGCTCTGGCCTTAGTCTGCTCAAATGATGTTTTGGAACAAATATAGGACACCAA